AGATACTGTATGAATTTTACTGCTTATACATTGTAGAACATGTATTTCGGGTACAAATAACACTAATTCTTTTAAAACTACAAATGGTTGGGCCAGGGACTTAGTTCAGTGGTTCCATGGCCTGCCTTGCAAGTACAAGGTCCAGAGTTCAATCCCGGTACAAAAAAAGAAAACTACAAATGGTTAAGTTCTATCTGGAAAACTATGCCCATTTAGTGCACACATGATGGCAACATGCTTTGTATTTATTTCATTTCCAAATTAGACGGCATAAACTTAAAATACACTTCATCATATCTTAAGTTTTTCTCAAAAAGAAACAAATCAAGGATTATGATCCATCAAATTTTAACTCTGAAACAAATGTCATATAATCTAATAAAAGTCACAAATGGCAGCATTCAAATATTCATTTGATCCTCTTTATGATGGGAATTGTCTGAAGTCTAAAATTAATTTAACTCCTAGAAAGTGGACAATTTCTAGGTAGCACATGTGCTAGTGGGAGAAGAAAGGATTGGAAGAACAAGAAGAGGGGTTGCTTAATATGATACAGGATACAAAAAAGAAGATGCCATTAGAATTGTAACTGCATGCTCCTTATCCAAGTATCGGAAAGTTTCGATAAGTAAGAGAGTAGTACACAGACACTAAATCAGGAAGAGGCAGAAACTTCTCTAGGAAAGGCACAGCCTATTCTGCACTCTTCCCCTCTGCTCCACACTGGTACACCTCCCAGGTAACTCATCTTCGTTAGAACTTTCACTTATGGACACACGACTGAAAATTTTAAAAGGGCATAATGTTATGAGATTTGTGATCCTTTAAAAGGCTTGCTCATGTATTTATACGTCACCTCCTTCTCTTAAGTAATTTATTCAAATATGTAACCAAGATAAGATTACTACACATTAAAACTTCTCAAGGACCCTTCTGGAAAACTCAAATGACAATCCCAAGAATTTGCTCCACATGCAGTCTTTGAGGGACTATAGCAGACATTCTCAGAAACAGATTCTAGACGTCTAACCACAGGGAACCAAGGAATAAGCACTTCTTAAAAAGTATCATCTAATCTTTAAAAGTGTGATAATAAACTACACATGTTCCAAAGATAAAATATGCAACTATAATTATTAATAATATTTAATCAGTGGGTACTTTGAAAGACAGTCTTACTGTTGACCACATATAAATAAACTACAACAAACCACACTTGAATGTAAACTTGAAATGACAAGTTTAGAGTATAAAAAATAACAAAGACTCGCCTCAAATGTATTTTAACATTATACAGGGAAAATTATTATTTTACTATTTAAATGTGGTAGATCTTAAAAGTTCACAAAAAATGAATTAATCTGGCCAGGATTTAGCTCAGCGGTTCAGTGGTGGTCTGCCTTGCAAGCGCAAGGACCCGAGTTCAATCCCCAGTACCAAAAAAAAAAAAAAAAAAAAAAGAATTAATCTCTAGGTTTTTTCTTTAATGAATACTCCAACTACTGTAATAAAGTGTTACTGTTACATGTTTGATGGTAAGAGATCAAAATATAATATTTGGATGACATACTTGATCACAGTTAACAATGCGTGTATCTACATCTATTTTATAGTGTTTGTGTATATGTGCCTCTCACTGATTTTTATAGCTAAGATCGAGTCACATTATTACAGAGTTGAGAAAGGGCAAGAGATTAAAATCCTAAAATGTAGTAGAATACACTTACTTTTAGAAGTATAAACTCTTACTATTTAACTATTACACAATATCTCTCATTTTTTTCTTTTAATTTTTCTTTATCTTCCTCTGGATTTAAAACAAAATAAAACTAAACTCTCAAATCAATTATCCACATTTTAATTAGGATGAAAACACAATGTGCTACTTTTCATACACAGTCTCTACAAAGAATATAGATGCAATGATAAGGTATTTCAATGTCTTCACTTGAAAGATAAAAAGTGGAATTTCACTCTAGGATTTTCAGTTAAACATCAGCAAGTATTGTTTGAGAGTAAAACACCTTCTTTATTTCTGAAGTATCCCATTAAGTTTTTGTTACAAGAATCCCCTATAAGGATTCAATATGTTTTCTAAATGTAGCAGTCAAAATAAAAATGAATATAAATATACCCATTCTCTTTTAACTTCAGTTTAACATCACATGTTCATATTTTATAGACCCTTGATTCAAAGATGGCAAATTTATACAAATATTTTAAATATATAACTAAAAGAATTATCTATATGACAGTGAAATGTCAAATCTGTATTATCCAGGTGTGTTTAACATAAGAGCTACAAAAAAAGAAACTATGTCAAAAAGGAACTGTGAGGTTTCTTCTATCTGTAAGAGAATATAAAATAGTGTTATTCAGTAATTGTGTTTTATTGAATACTATAACTGTACTATTCTAAATGGCTCTACTAAAACAGAAAAAGGTACAGTAAAATAGAAAGGACACCTGGATTAAAAGACAAAGAACCAAATTTGAGTACTGGAGAATGCAGTGAAAGTTACCTTAAACCAACTATTGGTAAAATTAATTATAATTTGGGGTAAGCTGAGTCCTCCTAGAGAGCAGAAATAACTAGTTGTTGATGCAGAGGCCAAGTTTAGACCATTCTGGGCACTAAACTTGAAAAGGTATTATCAGAACAGTTGCATTTTTTAAGTAACATCAAATTATAGCACTTAATGACTACATGATCAGTGAGTTTCATGTTTATAATGAGAGGTGAAATCAATAAATTTATGTCAACCTAAATGCAACTAGGGGTAACTGATGAATATGAACACACACACACACACACACACACACACACACACACACGTATAATAAAAGCAATTACATACTTTTCAACACCAGAGAGCCAAGTGAGGGTGAAAGACTAAGTTTTACTCAATGGAAAGAGAATCTCAACTTGTGCAAAGATTCAACTTAAGAATCTATCAAGGACAGAGAATAAATGAACATCAGTTACACCCTCATGGCTCACCTCATATAAGAAACTAATCAAACCTTGAAAAAAACATGCAAATTCCATAGTAAAATATAAAAGAAGACAAACCAAATTAAATTGGGTTTAGACAGTAATTGAGTATCTTTAAATGATGTATATTGGATTTAAGTACACTCGTGTGTAAATACTGGCATGAATCATCCGGTCAGTCTATAGGTAGAGCCTTGATAACAAAGTAAGTGGATTAGCACCATAGTAACCATCAGGGTGGTAAACAAACCGGATCCCACAGGTGTGGAGCACCTATATGTCCGGTCAACCAGGACAGCCATGTGGACAGAAGGCTGTCTTCTCACATTCTTACCCACACATCCAGTCTAGGGGTAAGTCAGGCAGCTGGCAGGTAGAGAGGAAGGACACTTTCTGACCAAGACACTAGAGATTTTGAAAGATGAGCACTGAATTGTAAAGTATGTCTGTCTCCCTTTACCTCAAAAATTATCAAGACAGGTGTCCTACAACACACTACCCAGTTCACATTTCCACATCCCCTGGAAGGGTTGTGGAGACAGCCAGAGATTACCAAAGCGCTGGAAAACGATACCTATGGGAAAACGGGAACACTAGGTTTATAAGAGGAAATGAGCTTAAGCAGGAATCTGAAGGATTTAAATTTGCCTTAAGGAGAATTCTCCTGACATTTAACTGTTAAACATTAAAGTGGTTTGCTGAGACTGCCAACAACTCCAATTCTGAGAATCTGTAGAAACAGGCAAGTTGCAGACCTGCGGCTCACAAAAACTGAATGTGAACTTCATTCAACTGCAACTTCCCAAGTCCCTGGTGACCCTGTAAGCCTAATTCTAAGGATGACATAAACAGCGTTTTCCAAGTAGTAGCACTTCTGATTCGGTACAGTTTAGTTGGGGGCAGTGTTACCCTGCATAAAAGCATGTGAAGGAGCAGTCTGTCACAGGAATCCTACGGAGACCTTTGAGGGCTTGGATTTTCTAACTTTAGATTTCTCATGAAAAGTCATATATAGTGTTCAATCAAGTTATTTTATAACATGCTGCCATTTTGACTAATTCACACTGAAGAAGCATTATAGTAGGATGGAAAGAACCAACCCCCCCAAAAAAAAATCAGCCAAATTAAGCTTTTCCTTTTTATATCACACAGACCCAAAATACTGTCTTTTACATTTGATGAGCAAAATTTTTCATTAAGATTTATACTTAGTCGCTAGTAGTCTAAAACATGCACCTTTTCATCCATACACACACACACACACACACACACACACACACACGCATTTTCTTGAGACATATTTGCACCCTAAAAGCATTAAAGTACCAAGGGACAAACTGATAATATACCTGACTTAGATTCTGGGAGGTAAAAAAAGTGTTTTATAAAAAGTATTTGAATAAATTACACGGTAACCAGATTGAATAGCTTACAAAGTTAAACAGAAGTCACTCAAATTACATGTTGACATATCTGCATATAATACAACAAACAATCCAATTTAGATTTCCACAAAGAAACTCTTGTCCTTTCTTAAAGAACCTATACTGTCGAGCGTTAGATTTGATCAAGCTTTGACAACCAAAACCTTTCCTATAACCTAGGATCTGAAGCAACATCCTTGTATTTACTTAAATGAACATCGGTATTATCAAACTAATCTCAAGTGACGACTTCACAAAAGCGCATTATAAAGTGCCACTCAAACTTTCTACACTGCCCAAACCAGAGGCGTCCTTAAACTGACCACAGCCCAGAGGAGCTGCCTTCTCAGCTCCTCAGTGAACTGCTCTCGGTGGGGTTTTGCACCCAGACAAGGACCTCCGGACTGTGTTGAAAATACACACATAAATACACCCTGCGCTGTACAATTGTCAATGAACTGGATAAACAGACGTAACACACCCACGGGTAAGGCAGGTGTCCGGGAAACACACCCCCACTCACTGTAGCGCTCCGTCTCTACTGATGTGGGATTCCGCGTGTGTGCGAGCGCGCACCTTACCGGAGAGGGAGATCCGTTCTCGCAGAGGGGCCCTCGGAAGACTCCTTTAATGCCCCGGTAGTGCCCATTGCTGAGGTGTCTGGAGCTGATGACCAGGTAACACGCCATGTGGCCGGCAGAGGCGCAGCCTCAACTCTTCAGCGAGCGCCCAGCCGTGGCGAGGCGGGCTTGGGTC